CCCCACCACTGACGAATGGATTAAGAAAATGTGGTATCTATACACAATGGAATTCTATGCAGCCATGAAGAAGAACGAAATGTTATCATTCACTAGTAAATGGATGGAATTGGAGAACATCATTCTGAGTGAGGTTAGCCTGGCCCAAAAGACCAAAAATCGTATGCTCTCCCTCATATGTGGACATTAGATCAAGGGTAAACACAACAAGGGGATTGATTGGACTATGAGCACATGATAAAAGCAAGAGCACACAAGGGAGGGGTGAGGATAGGTAAGACACCTAAAAAATTAGCTAGCATTTGTTGCCCTCAACGCAGAGAAACTAAAGCAGATACCTTAAAAGCAACTGAGGCCAATAGGAAAAGGGGAACAGGTACTAGAGAAAAGGTTAGTTCAAGAAGAATTAACCTAGAAGGTAACACCCACGCACAGGAAATCAATGTGAGTCAATGCCCTGTATAGCTATCCTTATCTCAACCAGCAAAAACCCTTGTTCCTTCCTATTATTGCTTATACTCTCTCTACAACAAAATTAGAAATAAGGGCAAAAAAGTTTCTGCTGGGTATTGGGGGGGAGAGGGAGGGGGCGGACTGGGTGGTAAGGGAGGGGGTGGGGGCAGGGGGGAGAAATGAACCAAGCCTTGTATGCACATATGAATAATAAAAAAAAGGAAAAAAAATAAATAAATTCTCTATAAAAATGGGCCCTATTTAAATGCTATTAGGAAAATAAGAGTGATTTTTTTTAACCTAATGTTGACATCATTAGTGCTGCCTACCAATTATTTTCAGGTCTCTTGGTATATTCCAAGCTGCACTTGCCTTCCCCCTTGAAGTCAATGCTAATTGTTTTGATCAGAGATCAAACCCTCCAGGTGGAAGATCTAATACCTCTGTATAATCCACCATGTTCTGTTTTCTTCCCTCTAGCAAGAACATCAGCATCTAATGCTGACTATTTTGTCACTTGAGTTCTCTAAAGTGACTACAATGACCAGAATTCCCCTTCTGAGTGGACAGGAGCCATGTGTAAGATAAAACCTTTGTGAAGTTTGGGGGGGTGAGATTTTGAAGTTGTTTGTTATGATAGACATATCTAGGTTATCCTAGCTGTACCTACATCACCAGATTTTGAAAATGATGGGATCTGAATTATAACCTGCTTAGGCAAGATGAGGCACAGGTAAAAGAAACAGATTGTCACTGAAGAGTGGAGAGAAAAAGCACAACAAGAGGTAATAATGGAAAGCAAATTGAAATTCTTCCCATCTAACAGCAAATAAAAATAGGTGCACAGATTTTAAAGTTCCAGATTTTTAATGATAGAACTACTGTATGGCCCTGCTACATCACACCTTGACATATATCCAAAGGAATGTAAGTCAACATTCAGTCCAGATACCTGTACTCTCATGCTTATAGCAACACTATTCATAATAGCCAGAAAATGGAGCCAGCCTAGTTGCCCATAAACCAATGAAAGTATAAAGAAAATGTGAGATATATACACAATGAAGTTTTATTCAGGCATACAGAAGAATGAAATTATGTCATTTACAGGAAAATGGATGGAACTAGAGATCATCCTGTTAAGTAAAATAATCCAGACTGAGAAAGTCAAATATTGCATGTTCTCTCTCATATGCAGAATCTAATCCTTAAAAATAAATGACAAGAATGTAAAGTAGGTACTGTTTGGGTGGGTACATTCAAGGGAAAGAGGGAGGGTGAGAAGAAAGAGGAAGGATAAAAATGGTTGAAGTATTTTATACACCTGTGTGAAAATAGAACAATGAAACTTGCTGAATTTGCTCCAAGAAGGAGGGATGGGGGACAAGAGGAGTAATAGAGGGGAAGGGTTTGAGCAGGGTACATTGTATGCATGTAGGGAGCATCATAATGAAGCCCTTTGTACAACAAATATGTGCTAATAAAAAATGGACAACAGTTCCAAATTTTTATGATCTTCCTCAAAATAACCACTCTTGATAAATGTCAGTCTAATTTTATTATAAAATCATTTGAAGGTTCAAGCTAGTCAGCACTAAAATTGCATGAGTTGCACATTGATACAAGCAGCAAGATATACATATCCATATTTAATCTCTTATGCAATCCAATAAGTACGAGGAGCAAAAAAATACAATTATTCACATAACAAGGGAAAACACATTTCATCTCCAATTAAAATGTATCAATAACAAGTTGAAGTTCAACATTATATTTACCAAGTGAGGAATCAAGAAAATATATACTTCTAGACCTTCTATTCTTTCTGACCCTACACAGAAATTTGGAACAATGGTGGTAAACAAGTAAAGCTAGCAGCAATTTTCACAAAGAGCTCACTGTACATATTTAACAAGGGCTCTAATTTAGTTCTAAATTCAAATTACTTTAGAAGAACTTTTGTAAATATCACAATGTACCCTCAGTACAGCAATAATATAATTTAAAATTTCTTAAAATTCAAATTAGTCATAAAACTAGAGCAGGTTTGTCTTTTTAAGTCTGAAAGCACAAACAAGATCATGTTGCATGACATTATAACATTGCTCTGTGTGTGTGTTCTAACATTTATGAATTTTTCACTGGCTATACAGATAGTTAGAAGCAACTTTCAATCTCTAGAAAAAAATTTTAAAGAAAATAAGAGATTATTCCTATTGCCTAATTGAAGCCATCAGTAAAAAGTCTGATCCTTTTGGATGTACCCATATCTAATTATGAATCACCATTCCCCTGGTATTCACACTCATAAAAACCCATATGAATTTTTATCTCATTTTTTAAAAATGCACAAACACTCAAAAAGTCTGACATGTCTCACATTTGCCTAAATAATATGATTCTCTAGAAATAATAAGTTTCCCAATGCAAAGGAAAATTCAATTATTCTGAAGGTCTGATTATGAATTTTAAAACAAAGTTTAAAACACTCAAACTGGTAAACGTGGTGAAACTATCTGCAATATTTATTTCAACAAATCAAAACAAATAGACTGCTACTTGGAACATTTATGAAAGTTATTAGAGGATGTGCTCTTTTATTATTCATTACACAGTAAAGTGCCAAACTATGTGCAGCACACATACTAACAGAAACACTGTTGTATTCACTCTCATTCTGTTCTCCTTGGAAGACAAGCCTAACACTCAGCAAACATACATTCTTTTAGTATTTTTTTTTCAATTTTGCATGTCTACATTGTGGGTTTAATGTCATCTTAAGACCAGTTTTGATGCCCAAAAGCTATACTCAGATAATATAGGTAACTCTTCCAGAATATGCACCAAGTGACCCTTCACTCCCTAAAGCCTTGCATACCAACATAATCTTGTCACAAGAGCTCCTCAATTCAGACAGACATAGCCAGAGCCTCACTGTGAAAATAGGATTAAAAGGTTCATGGAGAAAAGTCCTCAGGTCTCTAAATGAGAGTTTTTTATCAGTGCCTCTCCTCAGTGGAAATACACGGAAATGTTCACCACAGGTTTTTACCCACCATGAGGAAGGATGGAGCTTTGGTTCCTGGTGTTTCAGTCCATAGAACACCAAACACTCTTAAATAGCTGCAGGAAATAAATACGGTGCTCTGATAGTAAACAAACCATCTGAAAATTCTTCTGGGCTTTAAGTGCTTTTGAAACACATGAGAACATTTACACAATGTAACAGCAATCACAAATTGCAGTAGCTTTATTACACATAGCATTGTACACACACATGCACATATGGATTCACACATACAACACATGAACCAATATATTACTGTCAATTTAAATTTAAAACATGCAAAACCTTTGCAATTGCATGTCCAATATACACCTAAGAACTTCTTGTCTGTAATCCATTTTGACAAGTAATTATCTCACACCTATAATGTGCACTCTATATAAGAATAACCTAGGACTGGGGATGTAGCTCAGTGGTAGAGCACTTGCTTAGCATGCACAATGCCCTGGGTTCAATTCTTACCACTGCAAAAAAAACCCCGTAAATTTATGTAATTCATCATTTACTGGTCTTTGGTTAAGATATCTCATGCCAGTGTATACATGTTCTTTAAACTCCCTGAAAAATAATTTCCTTTAAAACTTCAATGAGGCTATTTGTTTTATTTCTTAAATTAACTTACAACAATTTTCCAAATTTGCAAAAGTTAACAATGACTTCCAATGTAAGTTACTAATCAAAAACAGAAATTTATGAACATAACTTAAGTCTAGTTAAATTGACAGATTTCCTAGAGTCTAAAATCAATCTCACAAGAAAAATTAATTTTTAAATGGAGCCAACTTAAAGAAAGCAGGGATTGTTGTCCTTTGAATTCTGATTAACCATTATAATGATCTGCAAATGCCTAAATAATTTCTAGTCTTATCTTCTCAAGACTGGTAGCACGGGCTTTAGAAGAGTGGTCTTATAGAATTAGTGGATCTATTAACAACAGAATTTTCTGATGTGTGTGTGTGTGTGTGTGTGTGTGTGTGTGTGTGTGTGCTAAAAGCAGAAATATACTAGCTGCAGGTAGTCTTTGAATATTATGGCGTATGTTTCTTTTATTCTCTGACACAGCAATGATGGCTCACAGTAAAGCCCCTTTATGCCAATGTTCTTTGCACATATCACTGGGGTTTAGATTTGTTTGCATTTTCCATGGTTCAGCTTTTTAGGAACTGCTGTCATGCAAATTGCCCATATCTGTGCTAAGCTGGAGCCTTTATTTCTCCAAAAAATTATTGTGTATCAGTGCACTAAAATTTTCAGAAGGGAGATTATTTGAAAACTGCAAATCTTTGAATTGCCAAAAGAAATCCTTCAAACAATAACTGACCTTTATAACAATAAATGCAAGCAGTCATACTTGTCAAATGTTACAAAAAATGGGCCCATTCCAAACAGTCTTGCAAGATCAGACCACTGACAGGCAGACCTGGCCTATGTTCTGGTGGTTATAAGCCACAGATGTCTCATGTACATATTTATTGAGGCTACGTGAGGACTAGTAAGCAGACATAAAGGCTGAGGGTGCTGTATTTCACTGAGCCTATCATATAAGGAATAGCTACACAGCAGTGATACCAAAATAGCCATTTCACTGTGCACAGTGTTAAGGTGGTCTCTCGTAAACAGGTCAAGTAAATTCATTAAGCCTTAACAGATTCATTTATTCCAAATTCATGAATCACTCAGACAAGCTCAAAATTATTTTCTACTTGACTCCCATAGCATTATTTCATACTACCTCCACTTGACAAAAGCAAGTGAAAATGTGTAATCATGCTGCAAAAGCTGAATCTGATCAAAGTACCCCCCAAACTACATGCTGTAGTCTGAATTTTCCAGTTAGGCTACATATATTTATCTAATTGACTGAAATCTGACCAAAACTTCTCCTAATTTTGTTCTAGGCCTACACTGACTTACTATCCTACTAAACTAGATGTGTGCTGATTTATTTTCTCTGAAACTGGTGACTCAGAAATAGCAGCAACCTTTAAAGAATTTTTAATGGAGCTGAGTTCCCAAACATGTAAGCTGATGACGTGCACTCCACAGCAACGCCTGGCAAGCCTGTAGAGATTCTTCAGGACAGCCTTGCGGAGAAGAATATAAACCCAGGGATCTAAGATTTGATTCCATGTTGCCATCCGAAGAGCAAAAAGTGTTGTTTCACAGGTCTCTAGAGAATTATTTCCATTGATTCCAATGTTGACCATGGTTACCTAGAAAACAAACAAAATAAGAAAACTGACGTTAGACATTTTTCAGGCTTTTAACTTTACTAGCTCTTCTATAGGATGTTTGTTCTATTGTCCACAAAGTGAATGCTATTTTGCAAAATATCGACAAAAATAAATTAATGCTAGCATAATCACTGACACAGACATTTTAATCTTTTTAATTCAAATTGACGTCAGAACTACAAAACCAATAATGGCCATGGTTAGCCAGCTGTGCACAAACAGAATGACTCAAGGGAGGACAAATGTTGATATCCGAAACTAGACTTCTCATACTTCTGGGAATAATAAGCTCAAAGCCAACACACATTTATATATTTCAATGAAAAAACTAAAGTATATTTAAACAAAGAAATTATATATAAGTTAACAAGTAGTTTGAAACAATGAATTTGGAACATTTGATATCAATTTGTATATGGTACATTGTCCTGGAATGCTACTTTTAAAATTTTGTGCTTGGCAACTACAATGATACCAACGTCTTCAATTTTATATTCCCTTTTCCGCATCTCTCACCCTAACCTTAACTTGGTTAAAATATTCCTGAAAGTATGCAATGGAACTTTCTAAGGAATTTGTGAAAATGAGGCCACTTCCACACATTGTGACTTAATAATAAAAGTGTATGTTTTGGTCTCATGTGTTCATTTCCTGAGCACTGATGATAGTAAAGTGATCATTGTGTAGAGTCAGTCCCATAATAGTCCCAGCTATGTGACAGAACAAGGCAAATCACTAAGCTTAGCTTTGACTTCCAAACCAACATTTAAGACAAATAGGAGAGCTTTGGAAACATCTTGGCCATGAAAACAAATGAACAAAAGATGAAACTAAAAATTATATGACCCTTGGACCATTGTGGCATCAGAATTCAGAGATGCTATAACATAACCTAAAATCCCAGATGAAACAAAAATCAAGACCATTTTCAGAAAGATGTTTATTTGCACTGATGATATCAGTGGTTGAAGGATAAAGGTCCTTTATCAAAACTTTTAATGTCTGCACCACAAGTACATAATCCTTGGCTAGCTCCTTAATGGTGCATCTGAAAGTTTACCTCGTGATTTCATCTCTCCTGCAAATAGCCCATTCTCCACTCATGGGGAAGGCCTCACTTATCCCAGATGCACTGAGCTCTTTCTGACCTTTGTCCTAAACAACTTCCTTTGTTTTTAACTCCTATCCCTCATTTCTCTGCCTGACAAACTCCTGTATTTCCTTCAAATCCCACACAAAAATGTGGGATTTTCCTTGTGACTTTCCCTGTCTTCATCAAGAGGAATGAATAGTTGCCCTCTCCTCTGCTCCTACAGTGCTGTCTCTGCCCAGTTATGTCACTTAACAACAATGCATAATAATTATGCATTTGTCTGTGTATTTCTGAGCATCTTTTTTAAATTTCTAATACCAAATACACTGCTGACATCTAAAATGTACTCATTAAGTGTTGGGATTAATTCAGTTATGTTTTTATTCCTTGAGTTACTTCTAAAAGCACAACTAATCATCAGAGAAACCTGTGACCATCCATCACAAGAGCCTAGTATCAAATGTTTCTAAAAGTTTTAATTTAACACCCTCCACTAGTGAAGAATTCCAGGAAAGTTTGTTGGCACTTAAAACAAAAAGGATCTTGTAGTCCATACAAATCTCTTGATAAATGGTTCCTTTCCCAGAAAGACAATGCATCAAACTAACTGCAGGTCTAAATATTCTGTAGGTAAACAAAATAAACACAGTGTTTCCTACATAATGTTACTTGTGTCAGCAACAGAATCTTCTACCACTGCTCCCCCAAATTATGCAACAGGATTTAAGAAATGCAGGGTCCATAACCCTGTTCCTCTTAGAAGAAAACAAGGCCAAGACTTGACTGGCAATTGGATTGAGGTTTTTCACTTTATATTTTTCTGTATTTATTGATTATCTTCTATATGCCAGGCAGTGTGCTAGGAATTGAAGGTTTAGTGCTGAACAAAGCAGATACTGGAATTGATAATCTGTTTGCTAGAATTTTATTTGTTTTGGTTCAAAGATGAATAAATGATTATTTCTCCTGGCCTCACAAGTATAAAATGTATGCATTTTCGATGAGTGATCAGATATGTTTTGGAATATCTCACAGCCCAGCCAAGACACTACACTGTGTGTGTGGAAGCAAATATGCTCAGCGTAAGTGCATGGAACCACTGGCCTTGCTTCAGAGATGTGCAAATTTAAAGAACCTCAGTTATACGGCATGAACTTCTGTGGCAGTATGGTCACCATCTGTGAAATGACAGTGAGTCCTAGGATCCAGTCTTCTCTCCAGAGCACCAGGGCAGTGCCCAGGCATATATCCATTCTCTCTCTCTCTCTCTCTCTCTCTCTCTCTCTCTCTCTCTCTCTCCCTCTCTCTCTCTCACCCTCCAATTCCAACAGTGAAGAGAAGAATTAATTATTGTATCATCAATAAACATATAGGTGGAATATTTCTATAAAAGAAATACCACTAGTATATTATTAGTGATAGTATATTATTGATAATTCAAGATAATCCAAGTATCCAACAAAAGAGAAATTATGGAAATATCATGTAATAGGAAGATGTGCAAGCATTAATATTTGTGGTTCATTGTTAATTTTACAAAAAGCAAGTCACCAAGTTATAGTGATTGTGTGATTTCAATTTTTTAAAGAATGTTATTTTTTGAGATATCTGTCAGTGTTTTCATTGGTTAACTCTAAACAGTAGAAGATCTTCTCTTTGGTTTGGGCCTAATTTGGTAAGTTTTTAGATCACATATTGTTTTTGCAAGCAAACAAATTGTGCCTTTTTTTCCTCAAATAGTTTGTGGAAATATAGTATTTCACCATGGAATTGGATTCATGGATTGCTTATGTGTGATTGTGTAGAGTGAGGCAAAACAGAAGGTGCCCAGAAATGCCTGGAAAACTTAGCTCTGAGAAAACTGGCAGATGTGTGGGAGCTGAGGTCAGGATGAGGAATGTCTGAAAGCTCGGCCGACAAACAGTTTGCCGTCATTTTCCCTGGACCCTGATGACAGGCACTTCACAAGCCATGAGAGCATTCTTCTGTGACTGGCCCACCCAAGCTTACATTCCAGACAGTTGTGTACAGATTCTCACCAAAAACACAACCTTTCATCTAGTTTCCAAGAGCTATCCAGCACATAGAGTTAAAGGAAGATATGTCATTTTCCAAAATGTCTTCTTTGGACCTTGGCATATTTCAGTTGTTCACCTTTGTTAATGATTAGAATTCTGAGAAATGGACAAGAGCAAGTGTTTCTACAGGCTACGACAAAAATTAATTAATTAACATGATAATCTCCAATACACTCAACACTAAAATAAGAGAGAAACAAAGAAGTCATGTAAGAGGGGAGTTTTCGTATATTACCAGATTTCAAAGAGCAAAATAAAGAGTGATATAATAAAATATCCATTCATTTGGGCTGCATAATGCAACTAGATCAACTACCAAGGTCACCAAAATTAATGAATCTACTGGACTACTTAACTCACCAATAACAGAGGCCATCCCATGTTAGTTAGTTTTATTATGGAAGTTATTCCAGTATCCTGTATCCTATGTCTGAATATCTGTTGGCAAAAGTCAGGACTACAATGAACACTTACAGGTAAAAGCATGGTAAGCCAGGCATGGTGAAATAGTCAGTAATCCCAAGATTTGGGAGGCCAAGGCAGGAGGATCATAAATTCAAAGCCAGCCTGGGTTACATAGTGTGACTCTGTCTTAAAATAAAGAAAAAGGCAAAAAAGAAAGGCAAATTCAAGAATCATGCTTCTGTTACTTTGAGTCTTATAAAAGTACATCCTATTTCCTGGTACACTATCACATATACAATCATTAGGAAGTCTAAGTTTTTGCAATTTTTCTAGGATATTAACACTTCAAATATTCAAACTTCACTAATGTTGCACTTATGGTAATTCTGTGTTTTTCCTTGGCACAACTTTTTTTCAAGTAAAATTAAGTGAACACATAATCAAAAACCTTTCTGAGGTACCTAAGTACTTTTTTACAATTTTATCATCTATTTTAATATGAATGACCTCTATGAAAATTACACATGGATCTCATCTAGACTCTGAAGCATGTATTTTTCACACACAGTTCATCTTACTCCAAGAAATAGATCACCTTTTCCTCCTTTCCATTAATAGCTGTCAATATTGACAAGTTCAGTTACTCAGGAGAAACACCAAAGACTAGTTTAGGGATAATAATCCCAGCTATTCAGGAGGAGAGATGTGGAGGATCACAGTTCAAGGCCAGTCTGTGCAAAAAGTATAAGACCCCATCTTAACCAATAAAAAGCTAGCATGGTGGCATGCACCTATCATTCCAGCTATGCGGGAAGTGTAAATAGAAAGACTGTACTCTTGGCTAGCCCAAAATAAAGCAGGAACCTATCTCAAAAATAATGAAAGCAAAAAGGGCTGGGGTATAGCTCAAGTGGTAGAGCATCTGCCTAAGAAATACAAGGCCTTGAGTTCAAACTCCAGTACCACCAAAAAAAGTGTGCACAGAAGTTCAATTCACTGATTTGCAAGTCATTATCCCTTATAGCTTTATCATTCAAAGAATAATCTTTGCATTTTGCACTTAAAAAGCCATAAAGGGCCAATTGTGATGATTTATTACAATCTTGCTTCACCATAAAATAAAAAAAAGATTCATGTGGAAGCTTTGCCAAGGGATCTTCATTCTACAAGGTCTCCATGTTTAGAGAACTTTAATCTGTGTGTTAATTTGGATACCTGGTGACTGAAGATCTATGTAAAAATGATGGATTTTGAAATATTGAAGCACCTATGAGTGTTGCAAATATAAGTTCACTGGCAATTTTGGAAAAGACATATTATATAAATCATGGACCCTTTCAGTTTTAAATAGATATATGGTGACTTTATAGTATTTATTCTTTTTCTTTTCTGTCTTTCTTTTT